TGGTTGTTGCGTCTAAGATCATTTATCCGTTACTTACTGGTTCTTAGAGTTTTACTTTGCCGATTATTTCATATCATTTCATCATGTTATTAAATGACGTATACATATTTGTCATACAGTGGTTTTTATAGATCGGTTTCTCTCCGAATCTCACTTACAGTTTGCTTGTCATACTTCCTGCTGCCATATATTTCTTCTGGGTCTCTGCTGTTTGAAAATTAGCTGCATTCAATCAGCCGTAAGATACATATGCTTGTGTTAAACTCACCTCTCCGTCAGAAATTACTTGATGCTTTTGGTTCAGATCTCTGATTAAGTGTATTTTTGATAACTGACAGTTGATTCCACGAATTGTTGCAGACAAAGACAGAGAGTATTATTCGAACAATAGTTTGCTTACGGGGTTGAAAACGTATATATGGATGTATTTTGCAGCAAGTTTGATGTAGGGTTACTGATGAAGTAGTCTAAGCCACGAAGAAAGGTATAGACTTCCTGGTTGGAGTCCTCTGGACGATAAAAACCATTGGTCGGAAACAATTGGTGATATGGCTCAAAGTGATCATTCTCAATAGCTGATACAGATGCATCCACTCCTTGTGACTTATGATTTCCAGTGAAACTATATTGTCCTCCGTTATTACTATTCCTTTGTCTCACACCTCTGTCTACTGTCCCTCTTATGCATTTCTTGTACTTTCTTCTCTCGCTTTGTGTGCTACAAAGAGGGTGTGTGGCGACTTGAACTGACGCACATTGGTGCAAAGTACTATGTCAAAAACAGACAGACTGATGAAGTAGCCAATTAACTGAATAATTGTACCTTCAGTATAAGGGGAAGACATATATGTATATGTACTGGGAGGAAAGCAGGATGTATATTGTTCTCTAGGGACGTTTTAATTTATCGGACAGCATTTTGCCCCTGCTTAAATTGCAACCGGAAAAGTTATTAAAGTCATTTACACCGTATGTTTTTTTCAAGTACTGCGGTCAAAATTATTCTACGACAGTTAACGATACTGCTACAATTCTCAAGCTGATATTGTGTTGGCTGGGATTCTACTCTAGGACCCACTAGTTGAAGCCCAAGCATTAAAGTCAATAAATAACATCACTAAATTTGTGAAAGTGTAGCGTAGGAGTATGAACACGGAAACGTTTAATCGTGTAGGTCAAATTATATATAGAAATAGAAGTTAAGCGATGCAATATGCTTTGTTAGTTAACGACACAGTAATCGCGATACGAACAGATAATTGCCAGAGGAAAGGAATCAGGCGTAGATTCTTACTGCATTTACTGTACGCATGTGGAAAATCTTAGAGACACTTTTATCGAAAATGAGAGAGAATGTACTCATGAAGAAAATTCTGCTCATGCTCACAAATGCCGTGGATACGGTTAAATATCTTTTGTTTACATTCGGATAGTTAGGTATTCTGTGCTTCCTGAAAATATATTTATAATATGTAAAGTTATATATGTAAGTGAAGAGTGGCATATTGTTTGTCTGCATTTCGATATATATATTTTCCATTATAGACTTTTTATGTTTTAAAGCATGTGCAGTTTGCATGCCTTTTTTGTCAGTCGTTAAAATCCGGGTCAACCAAGGAATGGTCATCCTATACGCATATGCAGTTCAAAGTTTCATTTCGAGTTCGTTTGGTGATTTTTTATGTTGACTTCTCCTTTTTTGTGGGAAGAGTTAGTAGGTCATGAAGTTGAAGTCATCCTACATCTCTTCGCTTAGCCAAAGTATGTAAGTAAGAATGTCATTCAGAAGGTGTTATCTGTGATGGTGTAACTCAAGTTTTCGGGAATGTTAGTTATATTCTACGTCTGTTTTAGTAAAATAAGAAGACATCCTACATTTCTGTGTTTCCTGGGATATATTGTCTTTAGTCACTTATATGTTTATGTACAACTGCAACGCGTAGCTGCTATTCAACGAGCTTATTATAAATCAAATTGGTGTATTTTTGTAGCATAATGGATACATCTGCAATTGATCTTAGCTCTCAAATACATCTTAAAGTTGAACAACCAGTACAATCAGATGATGTGATATCGAAGTCATTAGAGAAATATGATGTGAAGAGAGATGAGAATGTGGAAATGGAAAATCATAGTAAAGGTAAGGAGGAGGCGTTATCTCCCATTTATTAATTGTATAATATGATACTGTTATTTTTGAATACGGTGGAATGGAAAGCAACACATGAAGATAAAACGTCTGATTACTGTTGACTGACTAACATTAACTTCAAGCTTTGTGCAAAACTGCATTACTTTAAATCACCACACTTCCTAAAAGCACAAATTAAAGTAGGGAAAAGAAATATGGTGAAACTATAGTAGAGAAAGATACGCAGGAGGAAGGATGTAGGACCTAGTTGATGATGAGGAGTAAAGACGTTTGCGGCATTGTAAACGACTCTGAGTGATTTCATCAACAGTCTCCAGCTGTAGATTTTTATCACCCTCGGGACGTCTGTTACAGTTCTCTACGTGGCTCAGATCATCAGTTAGTGAAATGGGTTGATGCAGTGTTGTTGTATGACTACCGCTAGTTCTCTGGTAAGGTGGTCTTATATCAACTGAAATTACTATTCAGCGAAGGCGGTATTTTGACGTTCATAGCACATGTACTCATTTCAGTCGAGCTTGACAACAATATGGATTAATCTTACCCCGTTATCTAACACTTCACTGTTAACCTCATTATTGACTCATTGGTACATAAGAAGTTATATAAATAGTTAGAATTGTTCTCGGAAAACAATTCCGTATGGGATTTTTGAAAGGTTACTGTTGTGTAATTAACTAGCAGTATGTTGTATGTTTTTTAACATGTATATTTTGTTGATGAATCAGGTTGTCTTGTTTTCCGTGATTGCAACACATAACTGGCTTTATTCGCTATGTGTTACATGTTATTTTCTAGCTAATTCACTTAAACTGAAAAGGTATTTGCATTATGAATTCGTGTGTTAAGCTCCTCGCATTCCAGGTGGGACGTAAGGCCTTATGCATTGACATTTAATAAGAGTTAGGATTTTCTATAGTTGGTTTTGTAAGGATTAGCTTTGTTCTTTTACGAGTTGATCATGGATTAATATCAGCTAGAGAGCCAGGGAGCGCTGGATAGCTCTTTCATCCTAGTTTGGGAATCATCGTCTGTCTGTCTATGTGTCTGTTTTTGACATAGTACTTTGCACCAATGTGCGTCAGTTCAAGTCGCCACACACCCTCTTTGTAGCACACAAAGCGAGAGAAGAAAGTACAAGAAATGCATAAGAGGGACAGTAGACAGAGGTGTGAGACAAAGGAATAGTAATAACGGAGGACAATATAGTTTCACTGGAAATCATAAGTCACAAGGAGTGGATGCATCTGTATCAGCTATTGAGAATGATCACTTTGAGCCATATCACCAATTGTTTCCGACCAAAGCCTCAGGATGGTCGGGGGTGGGTGTCTTGCGCTGCGGGTTGGCCACCCCTCCGTACACCTCTTGAAATGCTCCCATATGACCGGGCGTCTTACATAGCCTCTCCTGAGGAAGTCCTACTCACTGCCTTCACGTGGCGGAGGTGTTTTTCACCAAAGTGAGAGGGCAAAAGCGGATGCCCGGCGCTCTTCACCGGGTTGACTGTCCATTGGATGACAGTCTAGGGGAGATGGCTAAACCCTGATTCCAAACCTCCAACGACTGGCGTATGAAGCTCACCGGCAGACGTATGGACAAAGGGCTTATTGGATGCCCTGGATGACTGGCCCCATTCGAAAAGGCGAATGAACCGGACTCCGGTCACCGGCTCCCAATGGATAGTGGACTCCCTACTCCACTCCTACTGCCTTGTAGGTCACACTTGGTTGTGTAAAGGCTAGAGCTGCACTCTCAAACAAAAGGCCGAGCGATGCTGGGGACATCACTCGTACCCAATTCCCATGAAACTTCATGGTTCATGAAGCCGGCTCATCCTCCCGTAGGAGATAGCCGAAGTAAAGTAAGTAAGTAATGGTTTTTATCGTCCAGAGGACTCCAACCAGGAAGTCTACATCTTTCTACGTGGCTTGAACTAACTGTTGTAGATTTCGTTGACTGGTGCCATGTTTAGGATTGACTGTCGCTATCTCTTTTCCAGCCTGACCCTATGTCAGCTAACAGCCCGTCGAGGAAGACGATGAGTAGACATACGTAACACATACCCGAACCATCTCAGTCACTACGCACTCACCGACAGGGTTTGAACACAGGGCCTTCCGGTTACCAGGAAAGCTGGCTCATATACCATTCAGCCACTGGGACCCAAATCAATGGCTCATGAATTGGTAGAAGTTAGAATTCATGGGCCATTGAATCGGGTCCCAGTGGCTGAATGGTTTACGAACCAGCTTTCCTTGTAACCGGAAAGTTCTGGTTTCGAAACTTGGCGGTGGGTGTGTACTGACGATGATTCCCAAACTAGGATGAAACAACTGTCCAGAGTAAGTATTGTCTGGTTCACCCCAACCTTTGTTCTTTTTCAGAATTACTAGCGGCTGTGATAGGAGTTGTAATCAGGTGAGTTTTATGCAAAACTCCATGTTGTGCATCCACTCATTAAATCCATATTGTAGCGTGTGGTACTGATAAGATATCCCAGTAGTGTGTAAAGACGTTCGTGTGCATAAAACATGAAATAGGAGGCGGAGGAGGGTAGATTTAAGGTCAGAGAAGACAAAGGATTCAGCGTTGTGGAGAAACATGGGAGATGTGAAAGGAAGACAAAGAAAGACATTATGAAAGGTGGCCAGAAGTAGCCTAACACAGAAGGTTTGTGGAAATGGTGCATTGAAGATAAGGTGTACATAATTTCGCTATATAGTGATGCGAAATTCCAAATAAACTTGCCCGTGACCAAGTCTCTCGCCTTATACCGTTACAATATGATAATGTACTTATATCCGTCATATTAAAAAAAATAAATCCTGTTGCTATTATTTTCTAGTTGAAGGCAATCCTGAACAGATTAGTGAATGTGGTATCATCAACAGCAATGACAATATTAATAACAACAATACCTGTAGTAACGATGTTGGTGTTGTTGTGGTTAAGAAACGAAATCCAAAAGACGAAATTCCCCTAAAGGTGAGTACATTGAGACATTCTGTTAAACTTTATGTATAATCAAATGGATTTGCAAAATAAGTTTTGCTACAAATTGATAGGTAATGGAGAGCTGTATTAACACATCATCTTTTTTTTACCGCGTCCGTGTCCCGTGGTTCATTTTTTTATAATTTACTCACAGTTATTACCCTTAATTTTAATTATAAAGTCAACGAATCTTATCTGTGCTGTAATCTGAGTGAAATGCAATTCCGATTCAAGGTAAATTTAAATACCTGAGTTGAATATTAATCCAAGAATGTGTTTCAGCCTGTGAAAGGGGGAACACTAATAAGATGACTGGAAGTACTGGTGTTACAATGGTATCTTTTTATAAAACTCCACTGAAGCTGTATATACAATTAAAGTTCTAAGATGTAAATATTATAACTGTAAGGCTGTGCGGAATGATCCAGCGAATTTTTCTGAAAACTATGCCGATCGATGGCTGCTACCTTGACGTGGTGGTTGGGCTTGCATATATCAATGACCCAACAGGCTACACTGACAGACACTAAGTTCTACGTTGAAACCGGTCAGTCAGTATGTGGAGGCTATAGTGTTTAGGATAAAGCAGATTTCGAAGTTGTAGTTAATTGCTCCCAGCTATCTTCAGGCCTAATTATAAATAAGAAACAGAAATCTTGAAGTCTTATGAGCTTCAGAGGATAGATTTACTTAGAAACGATCCTCATGCTGTTTTAGCTTCTGAAGAGAAACAAAACAATGTCTAACATTAACTGATTGGATTGCCTTAGTGGTTTTGGTGTTTTGTATTCAGTCTGGTTTCCTGATGGCGCGGAAGGCTATTGTGGAGAGACAGAATCAGACAGAATAGACTACTGTTTCTTCACCGAATATAACAATTAAGGTGTACGGCTTATGGTATTCGGCATATTATTACTTTTCAGTTATATATGAGTATAAGTAAACTGAAATTTTGAAAACATTTTCATATTCCGATTTCGATGTTTGCAGGGATTCTGATTACTTTCGATGCGGATTTTGTCATGAATCGATGTCAGCTGTACAGTGATTGAAAACTATAGGGAGAGCTAGACATCTTCCTCGTTCCTACAGCAGTAATCCCAATAGACATGTGTATAACAAAAACAGAAACGTAATAGTAATAACATTCAGTCACTTTTAACTACTAGGCATGTTTTCAAGTATTGGTTTTGTAGGGATTGTGTTCGATTGGTTGGAAGGTTTCATCATTAGCTGACATCAGTTAGAGAACCATTGGAAAACCTAGTAGTACTGGACAGCTGTTTCGTCAGCCTAGTCTGAGACTGTTCATCAGTGCGCACCCACCGACAGAGTTGGAACCCACAACCAACTGGTTCGAGGGTGAGCTGGTAGACGATGATGCTCGCCATGGAACCAGCAGGTCCTGGTTTCGACACCCGGTGAGTGCCTACTAGTATTGTAATATTATTTCCTTTAATTCCTAGAGGAGCATAGGGCTTCAGCTGCACGTCTCTGTTGCGTTGGGTTTTCTGCTAAAGTTTTCACCTGTCTCCAGTTCTGCCCACATGCTTTCATCTCATATTCATATGTCCTCCTCCAAGTCACCCTTGCACGACTCGCCGCTTCTCTTTCGGGTTCCACTCGAGGGCTTGTCTAGTGATGTCACTTGATGGTCTCCTCAGAGTATGACCAATCCACCTCCATATCTTCCTGCTTATTTGTTGAACAATCGGTTCCTGGTTAGTTCGCTCCCAGAGGTCTCCGTGTTGCTGATCTTTTCTGGCCGGCTATCTGATCTTGAGTATTGAGCGAAGACAGCTGTTGATGAGGGTCTGTAGTTTGTTTGAGGTGCTGTTTATGATGCGCTGGCCAAGTGTCTGATCCGTATAGTAAGTAGCACTGACTTCACATTGGATTTGAAAATCGGGATCTTATTTTTGATGCTGAGTGATGTTGACCTCCACACAGACTTGAGAGTAGTGAAAGCTGATCTTGCTTTTCCGATCCTTGGTTTGATGTCCTCGTCAGTTCCATCCGCCTGTAGTTGAAACGATGCTTCCTGGGTAGCTAGGTAGGTAGGTAGGTGATGTTGTTTCTTTCAGGTTCCTCCCATTTATGCTGATTATTGTCTGTTGTTGTTGTTGCTGTTGTTGCCCAGGAATCTTCATCGCCTACTACTGTGCATGTATTAATTGTGCACGAAGCTGAACACACTGTAGTACCGAATAGCTCTCCAAACTTTTTCTATCAGTAATTTTAGTAGTCATTCACAAGCGATACAGCTTATCTAATTATTATTATTATTCCTTTAAGAAGCATAAGTTTAAATTAAATTGAAAAAAAGTAGAAGAATGTTTGAGAGATGTTGTTCTTAAGTTAACTTCACTTACTTATTCACAAATCGTAATTCTCTATTTTCTTTCCTGCTTTTTTTAACAGAATCCAAAGTCTTCCAGTGCACTAAATGTCACAGTTGTTATACTTCCAGAACATTTTTAAAAATACACACTAAATTCGTACATAAAGGTAAGCTTTAGTTGTATTTAAGATTAATTGTTTTATTTAGGTTTTATTTCATTAAATTAACGAATGACGATATTGTAGTGCGCATAGCTGTCCCTGTTCTATTTCTCATATTTTAGGTGGTATAATAAGGTGGATGATATTGAGGTTAGGCGTCGAGTGTTAGGTAAGAAGGGAGGGTCAATCGATGAGATTGTGAATCTACATGGATTGAGATAGCGACGACATTTGTTATGCATGCCTAGCGTAGCCTTCGCCTTCCTCGACGGGCAATGTTAGCTGACATAGGATTAGGGTCAGAAAAGAACTAGTGGTGGTCACACGAAAATATGGCATCAGTCTATGAAATCTCCAATAGTCGGGAGGAGCAGACTGCTTGACTGGCTGGTTGGGGTCCTCGGAATGGTGAATACCAATGGTTGGAGAAAATTGATTGTCAATGCCACAGATGCATTTACACTTTACTATCTGCCCTGTTGTTTTTCAATTTTACTATTCTTTCCTCCTCACATTTCTGCTTGTTATGGTTCGATCGAATTTCATTTTTTCTCTGTTGTGTTCATTTGTATGCTTCATGGATTGTAGCAAGTCGAATTGGTGTAGTTCTGTGCAAAGTTCAATGTTGAAACTAGTTAGTCAGTCAGACAGTCAGTTCGTATACATTTGCTTACTTACTTAGACTTCCAGGCTGGGGTCCTCGGGACGGTAAAAATCTATGGTTGGAAACAATTGGTGACATGGCTCAAAATTGTTCTCAGTGGCGCAGATGCATCCACTCCTTGTGACTTATGATCTCCAATGAAACTGTTTTGTTCTTCGTTAATACTCTTTCTTTGCCTCACACCTCTGCTCACTGTTTCTATTATGCTTTTCTTGTACTTTCTTCTCTTGCTTCGCGTGCTACACGGAGTGTGGCGACTTGAACTTCCGCACATTTGTGCAAAGTTCTATGTCGAAACAGACAGACAGATAGTCACTATGACCAACGCGCCTAAATGGTATGTGATGTTTGATAATGTTTGAAGGAGAGGACTGTTGTAGGTTGTGGAATTCCAGACAACATGAAAAGAAGGTTACTCAGTAACCATTTGCTTTTCACTTGACAGTAACCCATACCCACTTTGATAGGGTTACCTAGTCACCAACCCTTTGGTAAGCTAAACGGGGCTCGAGCGTGTGACCCAGTACTTAGATGTGAAACACCTAAAGCAGTGAATCAGACCAATGGTTGACACAAAATGAAGCTATTGGATAAGTCGTTTAATGATTTACTGAGATTTTAGATGTACTTCATAACTCTTGATAGACTGTCTGGCTGACATTTGAATCAAAAGTTGTAAGCAGTCATTACTGAGAATTCCCAATCTCACATCATAGTCATCTCTGAGGATGTTGTCCAGATGGATATTGAAAGCTTCGGAGTACACAATACACACACAACAATACCAGAATGTTGAGTGTAGTACTTTAGGGTGTCAACTGTTATCTGAATAACAGTTTATGATGAGTAAATCATGTGACGTGAGGTAGAATCGTGAATGGGGAACATGGTTTTCCATAGATTTTCAGATACTCCCTATGAATGAATAATGGATAGGATGAGATTAAAGCTTAACACTGTTTGTTTTTCCGACTGTATTTTTATATTTGTGGCTTAAAGTCAATGTGTGTATTCATTTTTGCCCACTACGACTACTACTTTAGATGTAGACTATACATGTCCACAGTGTTGTAAAACATTTGCAGAGAAGTATAAATTGGAAATTCATCAAGCAATGATTCATGGAGGTGAGATAAATGATAATTTTTTATGACTAGTTCATTAATAATTTTGATAGTTTGCATTGTAACATTAAGAACGGACTATTCAACGAAAAGACTGGCAGTGAAATCTAGGATGTGCATTTCATTCTTTTGGGAACTGACTCGTCAGCTGGATATACCTGCATTCTCCATTGATTGAGTGAGTGATGGTGTTCCCACTGTGAGGTTCGAACCCAGTACCCATGGTTTCTAACTCTCAAGCGTCATATCCATATAGACCAATCGCTCTCTTTCAATAAAGTTGTTTCAAGTTAACCCTCAGATATGGTTAAAGCGTCCACACTAGAAACTGACAAGTAAAGCGACAGAGGCCAAACATTTCGGTTTAATCGATCAGTGGGAAAGTCAAAAATTGAAATAAAAAAGGTGTGAATACTTGAAATAACAATGTGAAATACGATTAAAATATTTGTGAATATAATCATAGTTAAATGTGAAGTGACAAAACAAATAATGTCAATATTATAAAATATTCCATAGGATGTACAGATCTTGGGGTAGGGTGTTTAGTTAATAGGATTAATAGGCAATTTAAACATCATTTAACATATTCCATTCAATTTTAAATTTTACTGTCGATTGATTGGACTGAAGTGCTCGGTCTCAGGTTGACATGTCGGCCCCTTGTGCAGATGCTTCGACGCTTAGGCCTTCACAACATTGGCCACTGAATTCAAACCTCACGGGGGACACCATCGGTCATTGGGGAGTGCAGGTACATCCAGTTGACAGGTCTCAAATAGGACGAGATGCACGTTATCCTGGATTCCACTGCTAGTCACTATCCCCCAATTGATTATGTAACATAGTGAGAAGTTTGGTAAGGTAGAATTGAACATTGCAAAAAGGATACACTGATTCAAAATAATAAGTAGGGCAAGTGAAATAATCCCGGAAACTGTTCAAGTTGAGAATAACATTAATAACAGTCGTAGTAATAGTAGGGGAAAGATACACAGATTAAATAAACAAAACAAATAAATGTTTATGGCACTACGGCCAAGGTAGAAATAAAGACTGTACATACTTCTTGTGTACATGAATGTTCTGACTTGAACTCATGAATGGCCAAGGCCTCCACTGTCTTTAGAAGTTTTGAACGAAATGAAAATACGACAAGTTAGCCTGAATTCGATGGATGATCTCAAAATCATGGTTGGGATTGGTAGAGCGTGACAGAATTCGATCAATATGTTCTAGCCAGCGTAGAGCTTTGCATATCCTACCTTTCACAACGCTGAAATGTACCGTCATATCTGTGTTGAAAGTATTCTGTGGCTACAGCAGGCGAACTAGTGAGGTTGCAAATGAAGGCGGCTAGATGAGGGAGCTAATAGTTTACAGATACGGAGAAACACTTACGGCTAGTGAAGGCTTATTGGAGTTTAGCTGCAAGGATATCTTCCTGAATGATTTAGAGAACGGTTTGTGAGCATATCTGCTACTTGATGGTCACCTTTGGATTCCAAATTCCTGGAGATGGTTTGCTTTGGAACCAGGTCAGTGACCAGTTTGGATTGCGTATCTTTCGTGTTCCTAATTACTCATGCGCTCCTATCTTTTGAAGTCGAATAGAGTTTTTTTTTAGCTTAAATGGATATATTTTGTTTGGGTGTCATTGTGTTCTCTGTCTGGACCGGATGAGAGACTTTCATTGTTCTTGTATACAGCATCTTCAGCGCTAACCTCAATATGAATTTAGTTTAGGGAATTTTCCCTAGATGAAATCTTTATCTTACCCTGGTAACCTGTAATGTGATTGGTTCATTTCTAATGGCCTTATATCCACTTATATATTGTGATTAATCCTTGAGGTGACCTGATATTTGACCTTACAAGTCGTGTGACCTATTTCCTATCGTTCGCTAAATTTGCCCTCTCTCCAAGATATATATGTATATATATGTAAGTGCTTTTTGTATGTGTTTTCGTGTTTTTTATTCTGAACAGTTAGCCGGTTTAAGTGTGAACAATGTGGTCAGTGTTTCTCGACAAATGGTGCGCTCAAATCGCATAATGAAGTTGTACATTTAGGTAAGTATGGATTATTTGTGTTTGTTTCTTTTAAAGATGTATTTCAGTAATCCTGGAACCAATGAAATCCCGGCAAACCAACACTTGATGATGAATCTAGCACTCACTTACATCTTGCCTTAAAAATGAAGTTACCTAGGGTTCCAGTGAGAAGTGGTAACCAGCGGGATCTACCAAGTCAGGTGGTGACAATGCCTGTTAGTTGCGCTATATATATATATATATATATATATATATATGCCACGAATCGGCAGAAGTTGGAGTTGATGAACCATTGAGTCGGATCCCATTGGCTGGATGGTCTACTGAAGAGTCTTAAACTAGGAGGAAACAGCTGTCCAGTACTGCAGTCGTGGTTTTCCAATGGTTCTGCAACTGATGTCAGTTCGTGATTAATCGTGTAACCAATTAAATCCCTGCCAACCGGCACTTGATAATGCAAACCTATTTTGCCCTCCTTTACAGAAGTAGGAAGGTTGTGTCATTAGTTGTGTGTGTTCAAACTCTATTTGGCGTTTCTGGTCAAGTAGCATTATAGCTTTCATACGCCCACGCACTCACTAGGTAAACATTTTATTTTCCACTCAATATCCCAATAACAACTAGTGGATGGCACACACCCGTGAAATCCCTGACTTTGACAGCAAGTTCCATAATTACAGAAGCGACATTTAATTTATTTGAAATTGCAGATATATCTTTTGATGGGTACCGAAAGTTGTAAATGTTAAGTTAAGCGGATGGACTCTTGTCGACCGAATTCTCCGTACATCTAATACATTTTACGACCGGCATTAAGTCGTAAGTTGTCAGTGAAGTTGCTTTGTTATTTTACTAGTTTGCTGATGTGTCTTCTCTCTATGAAAGCAAAAATAAGCATCGGTATATGGAATGTTCGTACAATGTATGAGGCTGGGAAGACTGCAGGTAGGCAAAGAAATGAGAAGTGCTGGGAATCTGCAACAGCAGATGGAATGAATGTGGACTGTCGAAATTGTCAATTGGTGTCATTAATCTATTTCGATCATCCCGATGAAAACCACGAGCATACTGAGGCAGTGAGTGGCTATCATGATCTTACCATTGGCGGCCAAAGCCTTAATGCAGTGCAGTGGGGACCAATTTCATCCAAGGTCATGACAGCAAGAACCAATTGAAAAGGAAGGAAGAAAGGTTACAATAATGCAATGCTACGCACCTACAAACAACTCGGAACAAGAGAGGAAGGAAAATTTGTATATACATCTGCAAATAGTAATGGACAACATTCGGAATGGGGACGTCGAAATCTTTATGGGCTATATGAATGCTAAAGTGGGAACTGGTAATACAGAAAGAGAACACACCACGGGTCGAGAACTCTTCGTAGACTTCTACGCTGTCAATGATCTGGTGATCGGAGGCAGTGTGTACCAGCACAAGGATATACACAAAGCTATATGGATTTCGCCTGACGGGCAAAGCGAAAAGCAGATAGATTTCACCTCATTGCTGCTCAAGGGATTGGGGACTCAGGCAATCTGCCGGACACAAAGTCAAGAAGGGCTCAGACAATCACCTAGTTCAAGGGACCTTCAAGGTGAGGCTGAAATCCTTCAGAAAAACTAGAGACAGGTCACTGTAATTCAAGTTCAACAATCAGAAAGCGAAGAGCAAAAATACAAGGGATACTTCCGATACAGATCAGAGGAAAGTCGGTGACACTACGTGGCATAATTGAGAAAACCTGCTGGGAAGAACATTAGAACTAACTCTCTGAATGTGATGTTCAAGGAGACGTATGCAGTCGCCTTAAGAAGAAAGAGGAAGCGAAACGAGGAATGGCTGTCAACGGACACCTACCTGGAAGCTAATCGAGGAGAGGAAGATGTTGAAAGAGAAGATAACTAAATGCACAGATAAACAACAGAATGAGAAGCTAAGTTCAGTGTACATCGCAGTGAATAGAGAAGTGTAGAAGAGTGCTAGGAAAGACAAAAGACAATTCTACGACACACTGGCAACTGAAGCAGAACAGAGTGGTCGCAGGTAGAAGAGACCTCAGGACATTATATCAGATAACCAGATGTTTATCCAGGAAGAGATCAATCCAAATGATGAAACCAATAAAAGATGTTGAAGGGAACCTAATTACTAAGGCTGGGAAACAAATGAAACAATGGGCTGATCACTCTAAACGACTATTGAATCGACCATTACCTTGGCGTTCAGTGCAAGTTTCTGACCCATATAAAAGAGGTGACTGAGTTAACACTGGTGTTGAAAATCCGAATCTTGTTCGGGCCATGATCCTTGGATAGGTAGGCAAGACAAGATTAACCACAACTAGATACTTCTTGGCCTCTCTCTCTCTCTTGTTCGCACATACTTTTTTCTGAGTTACTTTTTATCATACCTGAATTCCTGTTACCTGCTGGTAAGAACGCTAGGATTTAGACTCGATGCACAAATACAGTAGTAGGCATGTCGACTGATGATGACCGATTACTGTTGTGCTCTATGTAATATCTGCTGTCCATAGCCTTCGGAGAAATCAGAAGATACAACCGACCTGTACCAGTGAGAACAACAACTTAAGAAAGTTTTAGCAGTTAAGTAACTCATTTGAACGGTTGTTTAAGGTCAGACACCAAAGATCGTCCAATTAAATCATGACTTAAATTGTCGATTCTGGTTGAACCTGATTTTAGACTATTTTGATCACTTTCTATCATAGACTGAGTTCTAATCACCAGTTAAGTCTTACGCCTCTAGGTGGGGTAAGGTGGTAAGTTGGATGATTTGGAAAGTAACACCTTTAAAGGTGACCTGTAGGCGTTTTATTATTGTGTACATGAATACACCAGTCTATTCTAACTGTGCGTAACTGTTTATATAATAACGTTTCTTGAGACACGAAAGCATGTGTCATAAGGATTATTTTCTTTTTTATGCTAACGCTGGCTAATTCAATCTTTCTCTTATTGTTGCTCTACTTTTCAGGCATTACTTACCCTTGCTCACAATGTGGTAAAGTCTTTTCAAGAAAGTCCTATTTAACAATGCACAAATACGTTGTACATCAACGTAAGTAGAATGATTCGTTTAGATTTAGTTAAAATGGTCTCATGTATATATGTTCTCGCTTTCTTAATGTGAAGCAGTGTGATCGGGAGAATGCGCATCAGTTGCGCGGAAGGTACGGGTTGTATTCAAAGCCGATACACTCCCAAAACCTCGCTGAATGTACCAACCGGGCTTATTAAGCCCAGAAAAAAGAGGAAAATTTCACGTGAGTCTAGCAAACACCACTGCTAATGAATCTTCAAAGACTTAAAGCCTGATATTCCAATTGTAACTCAAGAGATGGATAAACAAAAGTCCTTAAAATATGCAGTCGAACAATCTTAACCGGTAAACGGGTATTAGAATATTTCAAATCATCAAACAGTAAAGTAATTCAGGATGATAGACAGCAATGTGAGCTTAACGACATTAACAACTTTTGGTAAACTATTCGACGTGGTTAGAAATTCATGCATCTAAGTACATGTATGGGTACCGGTGGAAGTGTGACATAGTTCTACATCAGCGGTGTAGATGTGACTCATTGGCTTAGACATTCGATTTCCGGTAAATGAGTTCCAGGTTCGAGTCCCACTACACTTACTTCAGTCTGGGCAGCTGAGCAGTGACTGACTAACTGACCAGTTTCAACGTAGAACTTTGAACAGATGTGCCGCAGGTCAGGTTACCACGCTCCATGTAGCACACAAAGCAAGACAAGAGTGTGTGCGAGTTAGGGAAAAAGAATAGTAATATTGAAGAACAATAGAGTTTTATTGGATATCACCGACAAATCACAAAGAGTGAATGCATCTGCGCCATCATCGAGAACGATTTTGAGCCATGTTACCAGTCGTTTCCACTGCTATTGGTTCTAACCATCCCGAGGAACTCAACCAGTCAGCCTGTCTACACCTCCCAACGTGTTTGGCTGGTTGACTGGCTTAAACCAACTGTTATGGATTTGATGGACTTATGAAGCCATGTTTTGGTTTGGCCACCACTAGCTCTTTTCCAACCTGATCCATCCTATGTCGGCTAACATTGTCCATCGAGGAAAGCAATGACTAGGCATGTGTAACACATGTCCTAACCATCTCAGTCGGTGTAACTTCACAGCCTCGTAGACTGATTTCCCCTTCTTACCTAGCACTTGACCGAAGCCTTACTTCAATATTACTCATCCTATTATACCACATAACACGGAAGATAGAACTCAGACACCTACGTTTCAAGCACAATTTATTGCTGCTCATAATCATATCAAGTTACCCACACAGCTTTCCGGATTCATTTATATAATTCCCTTATTTTTCATCGCTTGTTTTGGCGACTGGTAGTAGTATTTTCTTCATACATTTGGTTCCCTTGATAAATTTCGATCAAAAAAGGAAGACGAAATTTGCAGTAGAAAACGATATGATCATTCTCTTTCACAGGTTCTCATCAGCTGCATAAAACTACCTGAAATTAGAATGGTTATATAGATGATGATAATAACATACTTTAATGTTTAAGTGGTAGTAGAGAAGAAATAATACTATAAAATTGATGCATCCAAAATGTAAGCAGTATTTCAATTGTTAGTTTAAATTTTCATGATCAATTTATACGCTTTCAAAGTAGAAAAGAGGGGGAGAGGGGCGAGACAGAAAAATTCACAGAACAGTGTTAGCAGCTTGTAGGTTCACACAACAACTCAAGAAACAGAAACAAAAGCGGTTACAGTTTATAAGATTGAGATTTGCTCAGTCAGTTGAGATCACTGAATAAGATAACTAATTAATGTAATCAAAATCAAAATTCACTTACCTACCAAGGTAGTGAGATGTTAATCACATTCTCTTTCTGTGTGCATAAGTCTGGTTTGAATCGTTTGATTGGACATCAAATTTACTACGATTCACCGAAGTGATTCAGCTGACTGAGCAAATCTCAATCTTATAAACTGTAAC